AGTTTGACTCATTCATCTGCTGAAAGTGTGATGAAGAAACTTGAAGCCACCAGTGCACAAACACTTAACTTTAAAGTCAACCAGCAGCAACATTTGCATATCCATAGATTCTTGAATCTTTAATGAGGTAAAAGGAGAAGATGCCATTTTTAAAGATTGTAATGTGGAAAACATACTTTTTTTGCAGAAGAAAACATAACAGCCACACATTGTTTTAAGCAGACTATTTCTGGAGGGAGGGGAGTTTTTTAAAGTGGATTGTGACAGTGAGAAAAGCTAAATCTGGCATTAGATTTCTCTTTGTTATTCGTAGAGAGATTGGGGCAACAGAGACATTGTGAAAAACACAAAGACTGATTCTTGCTTTTGTGGTATTGTTTGGTTGTTTGTCAGTGTTATTTAAAATAAGAAATCATCTCATACAGAGATGTAAAGAGAATTAAATCTGATTCTCAGATCCAGGCTTGTCACTGGTTAGGGTTGAAGCAGTGTTTCGTTCATTACACATACGCTTCTTTTAATTCCTCAGCTCTGGATCTCTCTGTCTCAGTTTCTCAGCCTAATTCAAAATCCTCCTTTTCCAACATTTCATAAAACTCTACATGAAGTCTTAATGTTTTATTGCATCCTGATTTACATTACATCATTGTCTTTGTTTTGTTTATCTGGTCTTTTTTTTAAAGTTTGTTTTGGTTGCAAAACAGTTTTGGCAAAAAAACAATCCACTTACTGGAAATGTCCTTTTCTAATGTCAACAATGAACCGTCAACCTACACCTTTCTTATATTTGAAGATCTCTTATTTTTCAGTGATCTGTTGTTTTTAATTATTATAAAATGACAAGGTAATAATGAGGAAATAAACATAAAAGTCCATAAAAGTCACAGTTTGTCAAGCAAAGCCATGGTAAGATTTTAACATTGCACACTGCTCTCCACATCACACAGTTTATTGGAGGACAATTTTAGAGTTAATGATACGCTGGATTTGCATTGATTGCTCAACATATCCAGATAAAACTGGCAGTCTGACAACAAACATTTAAGGTATAAACTGCAGCAGGACAGTTTATCAGGTCAGATACCTTT